TTTATGGGCTGTTCTATATTCGGCTAAGGATAAGGTACGTGAGTGACTTAGCTAACCAAAAAAGCCCAAAAAAGCCCACATTTTTTTGGTTCCGGGCATCATGTTTATCATTATTTCCCCCCCTTTCATGGGGGAATCTTGAAATTGCTTATTCTAAATTTTGTTAGATTTGATGATTGTTATCTTTATCATCCTGCTCGCTTTTGGATGCGGCAGGGAAACCTCATTGGTATAGGTGCTATTATTGCGCCAATTCACGACACTCTAGGGTTTTAGGTCAACAAATAACAAGCATCAAAGGATTCATCTGTTTTGTATTCTTGGAACTTTCAAAACCCCAAATTATAACTGTGGTTCAGCCATTTGCCTTATGCTTTGTTAATTAAGATTCATGTCAGACCTTCAACTTCTATTGTAAATTTATCCAAAACCATTGTAATAAAAGACATGTAAACATAAAGAACAAATGGCTCGGTCCTAATATGGTACTTGCCATCATGAATCGTCAAGAGACAATACGTCCTTATCATCTTTCTTGTATGGAAGTCATCAGCGGAGACTCCTTCATCGCCTTCGTCCTTAAGACATCATCTATCTCCAACTCTGGCCAGCTGCCTTCTTTCCCATATTTCTTGCATGGGACGAAGTGAGGAAGCCCTTCTTTGCCAGGGTAATTCTTGAAAACAGGATGCTGAAACTCTTCTAGCCACGGCCGCCATCAGCTTTCTGTGGTCCGTTGCAACTTTTGAAGAAAGAAACTCGGGCGTCTCTTCATGAAACATGCCGTTCAAGGTTGCTACTCCCATATTGATGATTCCATGAGGCTCGCCAGATGTGTTTCGCACGAGGAAAGCCATGTAATTCTTGCCATTGATCTTCAACAAGTCTCCAAGCAAGACATGAGCTACACCAATCTTCTCATCTTTCCTAAATCTTCTCACCCGGTAGATCTCCAAAACCAAGCAAGAATTAGGTCTCCTACGCTCGAATTCTTCATCCACAGAAAAACGAACTTGTCATTCCAAGTGGGGTTTGTGTCCCCGGTTCTGTCAACTCTCGAGACAGCCTTTTCCTAAGGGTCGATGTAGGCCGCACCATAAGTTTGCATTGGTTTTGAAGACGGCTTGCTCGTACGTAGAAGACATGAGCTCTAGGGCTGATATGAGATTGATCTCCATGGTGATTGCTTTACGTAGTGACGATGTTTCCATGCTGAGGTTGCTTGAGATGAATATAATGGTTTTTTTTTTTGGGTAAGACTTGCAAACTGAGTAGGATGAACAACTAGGGTTTCTTTTATGGGTGTGAAGAGTATTTGTCAATGGTTATATATATATAACGGTTTGTCCGGTGGAATGAATTGTGTTAGCTGGAAGTACTGTTAGTAGTTAGTTAGAAAAGCAGTCGAGTTGGGTTGGTTAAGGAAGTAGTTAGAGTCAGCAGGCTTGAATATAATTACAGTTAGTACAAGAATACAAGCTTGTATATAAACTGGTGTATGGAAACGTGTCGGAGAAGAAGAAAATACAGAAGATTAATCTCATTTCTCTACTCATTCTTCTCTGCTCTCTTTTGTTTCTGTTCTTTCTCTTCTTTTTATTCTTTCTAATCTTGTTAAGCTGAGCTTAACAGTGTCCCCGGTTCTGTCAACTCTTGAGATAGCCTTCTCCTTAGGGTCGATGCAGGCCACACCGTAAGTTTGCATTGGTTTTGAATATGCTCTGCTCGTAGAAGACATGAGCTCTAGGGTAGCTATGAGATTGATCTCCATAATTATTGCTTTACGTAGTGACGATGTTTCCAAGCTGAGGGTCAACTAGCCGCCTTACTTAGGTTGATGAAAGGCAAGCATGGTGCTAAGTATTTTTTAAAATAATTTTTTGTTTGAAAATATATAATTTTTTTTTAATTTTTGATATTAATACATTAAAATTATTTAAAAATACGAAAAAAAATTAATTTAATATTTTTTTCAAACAAAAATATCTTTTAAAAAAAAAACCTCTCCAAGCCTTATAATTTTATGCTTGTACTAGGAGTCAACAGAATAATAATTTTTATTTCCGATAAAAAAAATATTTTCAGCCATTTAAATCTCATGCATAATTGATCAATTTTTTTTTATATATTTCATTAAATTAAATCAAGTAAGGTTTTATATTTAAAAAGGTTAGGAGCTGACCATATCGACTTAACAAATCAACCCATGACCTCTTCTCAGAATAAGATTTGTTTAATTTAAAAAATAAAATTAAAATAATTTAATTTTTTTTTTTAAATTATATCATTTTGAATCGATATTGGTCAATTTAAATTGAATGTGAAAACTTGAATTCCGCTGTGCTTTATAACTATGACTTGAAGAATAAATAATTAAAATGGTGGAGTAAATTGTAAATTCACTCACTAGCTGCAACAAGTAAATAACACCCAAAAAAAAAAATATTTTATTTCTTTAATTTTCTTTGACAAGTCAGAAGAAATTAATGTTGGGCTCTTTTCTTCCTTTCAATTTTCTTGGTGGTGAGTAACACCCATGCATGCATGCATGGATTTAAAATCATAATGGAAAACAAGGGGAAAAAAATATAGAGGAACAAGAAATTAACATTAATCCTTTTCTAATGTAATTAATGATATTAAATCCGGGTGTTTGCCCTAACTGGATAACACTGGTTATATAGTGCGAAATAAATTGTAGCAATTAGCTGAGTAGTCATGATCATATGATAATTTACAACATTCAAATCTCCATTTAAAATCGTTGGGATTGATTCATTGCACTAATATTGGTTGAATGATCTTTGTAAAAAATATTATGTTTTACTTGTTTTTAATTTGTATACTTGTCATGATCCAACAACTTGTCTAGATGATCACTAGGATATATCATTCCATGATATTGTTGCGGCTTGGATTATAATTTTTTGGAATATAAAAAGTAATAACTAGATTATTAATTTTTTTATATTATTATTAAATTTGATAAAACAACTCAAATTTGAAAAATATAAATATAACTCTGTACTTAATTTGAGTTTTAAATTAAATCATGTAAAAATTGTTTTAATATGACCTTCTTGATCATTCTAGTTAGTTTATCAAACTCGCAATTCTAGTTATAAAATATACTAGGCTCAATTAATTTATTTATTTTATTATATCATAAAAAATATAAATACCGATTCATAATCAACCCAATACTAAAATTCAATAAAAATCAAAATAAAAATAAAAAATAAAAAATAAAAAAATAAAAAATAAATTTCCAATTAAAAAATTCACAAGCCTATTACAAAATAGCCTAGACACAAGTGCTTGAACCTATAAAAAGATTACATCATGGATTATATTAATTCTAGTAAAAGTATTTTGAGAATTGTCACCATTAGGTGGAAAGAAATAGAGGTATTTAAGACGATTATTTTTTACAGTGTTTTTTGTTTGGAAATGTATCAAAATAATATATTTTATTTTTAAAAAAATATTTTTTAAATAAGCACAACAAAATAATTTAAAAATATAAAAATTAATTTTAAATAATTTTTTTAAAATTTTCATGAAACTCTGTTGAAATGTAAATACAAAAGAAGGTTAAAAAAATAAAGAGAGCTTTTTTTTCTTGAAGAATAAATAAATAAATAAATAAATAAAGTATTTATATTTATATGCTGGATAAAGAGGAATTACAGAAAAGCCTAGTCAGCCTCTTGGGATAGGTCAATTGGAGGCCCTTGAACAATTTTCCGGCCTACTTCCGGACCATTTCAGGGCCGCCTTTCATGTTTATGCTTATTTTAAGAGCCCATAAAGCTCCTTCCAGACACCAATGGACAGGGTTTTTACTATTTTCTTGCCTTTTGAATTTCAGACATGATTTATCTAATCGTTTTCTCCCCTCTTAAGCAAAAATTATTCTATAATTTCTTTAATTTCCAAAAAATAATTAATTAATTAATTTTATCTTTATCATTCAAGTGAGATTTTCCCAGAAACTCATCGAAGTTAATCATATATTTCCACGTGATAATAAATATATATTAAGTATTTAAATCCCGTGTTTTTCATGTGCAAATCACGTAACTCATTCTAGAGGACTGGTTTGAAAATCTCACATAAATAATACCTTAGAAACTTAATAAAAATAAAAAAATATTTTATTTTATTATACGTGTACAACTGTTATTTTCAATATTGGTTGTCTCGTCAAAACCAAAATGCATATTTTATAAAAAATAATTAGCATAAATAAAAATAAACTCAAAATTTTATGAAGATACAATGATCAAATGACGAGATTTAAGATTTAATGGCAAAAAAAAAAGAAAAGGATGGCATAGCAGGAAAAAAAAATGAAAGGATAAAAAAAAGAGAGGCATTAAAGATACATCAAGACTCCATTTTCAACATGCCTATTATTATTATAAATATCTCAACAAAATAATTTTAATTAAATCTTAAAAAACCATAAAATAAGACTGTAATTAATCTCGAATAAATTTTTTAATTAATTATAACCTCACCAATTATATTTAAATTGTTCTTTTATCCTAGTACTTTCTAACATGTGCTACTTTCCCGGAACATTTACCTAAACCTTGTTAAAACGGTAAAAGACCCGAATTTATCGTTGTCAATGTAATTTGAGTTGTCTTTTTAAGCGTTGATGTGACATTGAACCGATTACCTGATTGTAATGTTTTTATTTTTTCAGATTTCATGAACAATTAATCATTTACTTATCTCCATTCATCATGTCACAAGTTGCTTATATACATTCATAACTTTGTTCTTCAAAGAAATTTCATTTTACCAAAAAAATTGTGAAGAACTACCAAATGAAGTTAAAGATCATATTCCAGTGGAACAGAATTAACCAAAAATATGAAATATCTGCTTGAAACTTAACTTGTATCATGAAATTGAACGTTGTACTTGCTGAATTGTTGATTCACAAAGCTATATATATTATAATTTTTTCACAGCCCTTTAGGGTTTTGATTTATAAGCAAGGATCAAGAATAATGAAATAAAAACAACAAAAATCACCATGACTAAAAATTTATCATAAACTATATCCAACAGAGACAAATAGTTAGAACAGAAATTCGACAATTAAGAATTGTTTTAATTAGTGCATTAATTATGAGAAAATATGAATTCAATGCATTCCCACTTTGAATTGAGATCTTGCTGACACAACATGCTGCTTACATGAACATTGATCTTGTCCTTGGCTGGATCAAACAGCATCATCAGTGCATGCATGGAGGGGCAGAGAGAGAGAGAGAGAGAGAGAGAGCTTCATTGATTTAGAACATGTAGAGATCAACTAATTCTTCCAAAGAATCAAAACTAGCATTTGGATCAGCATGTTCAAGCATCCATAAAAGGTGGTCAAAAAAGACCACCTCACATTTAACCACCAAAATATTATCCTCTCCTGGTTTTTGCCTTGACTTCTCAATGAGAGCATTCACCAGAGGATGGCTCAGGTACTTGGAGCTGATGACATACCTCTTTCTTGTGCTTCCAACAAATATTGTTTCATGATTTTCATCTTCTTGCTTGTGATCACCCCATAAATCTTCCCTTGTTGATTTAGACCTTAGGCTACTATAAGATGAGGATCTCCCTAGTTGCCTAGACAAACTCTTGCATTTCCTTAGTATCAAGTTGATCTTCTTCATTATATTTTGTGAGACCAAAAGGAACAGAAGGACAAGTTTAGAAGTTAATACTGCATAAAAATATGAATGCGGCATGAATATATAGGAGACTTGCTATACACTCACAGAAGGTATAACAGCAATTGGGGTGGCTAGATGAGCCATGGTGGGTGCTATGTCATTGTTTACATCTGCTGGCAATGTGGGGCATGTTGTGCCTTGCAACCGAACATTTCAATCATCAATGACATAAAACAAGCCATCTTTTTTAATTTTATGAATGAATGTTGTATGGTGGGGCTTTTACTGGCACAAAAGGACACACAACATCTCTATTTACAAGTCAAAATCGGGCATTAATGTATGTCCAAGCCCTCAGTTTTCACACCAGGCCTGAAATCCGTGGAAGTCTTCTGTTGAGTGATTAAGCTACCACTCTGATGACAGCAGTGGATTGCCTACGGGAAAGAAAGCCACATAGTTTGTTTCTTTTCTTTTCTTTTCCTTTTTGGTAGAAGACAATCCAATAAATTAGTGGTTAGGCACTTGATAGACAAATTCCTAAATCTAAATTTCTCAGCACTAGCTTGCTACAAGCATATATATATATATATACACCTCACAGGAAGGCACAGCTGGTTATCAATGGTAGGTAAACACTTTTTTAGGATAAATCTTGTGGCAAGAGAATTAATTAAGTTGTGAAAAAATTGCATGTTGGCAAGGCAAAAGTGCCCATGCCCGTCAAAAAAACTGACTACCATACTCTGGAAAAGATTTGGAATTTTGAGGTTCATACCTCCATAACTATACCACCTATTTTTACCTTCTTTTGAATATCATCTAAAATCCTTAAACTCAATATAATTGTCAATTGAAATGGTGCATGATCCGTGATCAGAATGAGCAAGGAGGATTCTTTATTTATTTATTTATTTATCATGGGATTTTGTTTAATCAAGAAAAAAGTTTATTTATCATGAAAAGACATATAATGATGTAGCGTCTAACAATAAAAAAGAAATTAGAGTTTCTCGAATTATAAAATTATGGTTTTAAACGGGAGAGAAAATTTTGTTTAACCTCTAATTTTTAACTTTGTTTTAGTCTCTAATTGTTTAAATAGAAGTTAAAAGTGATCTAATGAAACATAAACAAATAAAATTTTTGAAATTTAATTAAGAAAATATAGAAGGATAAAAATAAAATAAAATAATATTTTCTAGATCTAGTGTTAGCCTCTGGTGCTACCGAGTTGATCTTACCTATAATATAAAATCTTCAACCTAATCTAACTATTAAATCAAGTTTATTTTTTTAATTAGAGAGTTCGTACTACTCGTACAAAACTTGAATTTTTGATAAGCATTCCACATCATATTGTAACCGAAAACATAATTCTCACAATGCTAGCCACACATATTAATTTCCTCGACAAGGAATCGATAGATTAGATCAGCTAAGCACGATGTTTGTGTAATTTAACGTAAGACATTTTTTTTTCATGTCCGGTAGATGCCGAAATGTAACATGCAGATGAGATCAGATGTGAACAACAGCACTACAGCAAGAGAGGGTCTTGCTTTGCATTGTACATTATAACAAGAAATAGCCATGAGGAATGAGTCCCACCTGGAATGGAAGGCTCGAACGGCTGCCTAAACTTTCATGGGTAGCTGACAAAATCTGTGATCGTGGAAATTTTGTCACAGACCCAAAACCTCGACCTTTCCACATGGCCTCTGCAAATCGAATTGGCTAAGAGAATAGACGACCGAAATTCATGAAGATTACCTGCGAAAAGGCATCTTGGTACCCTGTGCATGCTTCCTAGGCATGGGCTGTTCTGATTCCTTGAACCTAAAATGATTAATTTGATTAAATGCTAAAAAAATATATATTTGTTTGATATGAATTTAAGAGTATTTGATGAGATATATGTTCTCTGTTCTATGCTCCTGTCCAAACCTAATCTAAAGACATGCATGCCCTGGTTCATCACTGACGTAACCAAGAATGTCCTTTTTCCCACGTTAAATGCCATTTGTCTCTTGACACCTACAGTAGTCAGTGTCATGTTGGGTCCTTTCTAAATACAGAGAAACCCTAAAATCAAAATCTAGCTCAGGCACACCACATTGTTGAGCACCCATTGGGTTTTTGCAACCCTTTCTGGTAAAACCAGCGGCAAAGTAACATGGCAATGAGCCTGGCCACGAAGATTTGTAGCTTGACGTGTCATTTTCTTGACACTTGCAAAGACCCTGGGTTTGAGTATTCCTATATTATTTTAAAAAAAAGTTGTATCGAGGGAAGAAAATGCAGTGTAATGTAAGGCCTGAGGGTGTTTTTAGAATTAATGTACCTGATTGATCATTCTCTAATAATGGCTTAATTAAAAAGAAAAAAGAATAAAATTCAGCCATGAAAGTTTTCGTAAAGCAAAAACCCTCAATTCTCTAAACTTTGCGTTGACAAATTAAATTAAATATTATCATCTCCTCCTCCTTACCATCACTTTTGCAGTTGCCACCATTTCTACAATTTTATTGTGTTCATCTCAAAATCAACCAACAATCACATCCACCTCAATTTCTTGACTTTTCTTCTTCTCCGTATCGCCACCATTTATACTTATTTTTCCTTCTTCGTAATAATATCATGACGGAAGAAAACTAACTCTACAAGTCATGATAACCTGTAAAGAACAAGTAGAAAACTAATTCTTAATTGTAATTAATAAGAAGTAACTTGAAACAAAGATCAATGCAAAGGTCAACAAATAAGTGCTCATGGCTGCAGCTATAACTCCCTATTTATATACTCACATGTTGGTGTTTCCTGCAACCTACACTTTGAGTTCATCCCACCAGCTTGCCCATCCTCTGTAGTAAAGCAAACCCCAGTATGCATCCCTGATTTCTTTCCCTCAATGCTAGATATATGCAACTGTAGCAAGGATTATCAAAGGCCTAGAAAACAATTCCTTCAAGGCATCAGGCTCTAAGTAAAGATTAGTGCGAAGAATTGACTAAATGATAGATCGATAAGATTGTTTCTCCTTGACTGACTGACACATGAAATCATCTTGAAAGAAAATACAAGTTGCGTATATAGTAACATGTCAACGATGGATCATATCTTTATCAATCTTATCTGCCTTGACAACTGGATTGCCGTTTGCAATCGCATCCTGTCCAGTATTCTATCTCCTGTAATCAAACACGCAGTTATGCTAGTCTGAATATCTGTGCTGTGAACAGAACGTGTATATGCACCGGCACATAAAACCTCCTGCAAAAGTTACACATGTTTGCCACCACCACCGGCCGTGGACACTGTTTGACACTGTTGATCTCATATTGAATAAAGTTAATTGTAGATTACAAAATAGGGTTCAGGTGAACTAAGGGGTTTTTTAGGTTTTTTTCTTTAAAAACAACAATTCATTTAAAGATTATATAAATTTCTTGGAAAGTAGTTTTGTGTTGAAAAAAAATTTAAAGAAGAATGAATTCTTGAAATATGAATTATTTTTTTATGTAAGATAGAATTATGAAAAATATTAAGATGAAAATACTTTTTAGTATTTGGGTATACTATAAAAAATAAGCTGAAAAATCACTTTTTATTTTTTTTATTTTTTTTAATGTTTATTAAAAAAATATGAATCAAATCTAACTAATAAAAAAGTTAAAGGATGAAATTGAAAAAATATCTAATTTTATAAATTATTTCAAATAAAATAAATAGTAATAGAAAAAAAAAAGAAATCAAATCTAGCATGAAAAAGTTGGAGGAGGATGAAATTATAAAAAAAATTATTTTATAATTTTTCTAAAATAAAACAAATAATAATTAAAAAAAATTAAATTTGAAAGAAAAACAAATTTAAAAGATGCTTTGAAAATTTAAAAGGTAAAAAGTGAGAATTAAGAAGGAGAGAGAAGGAAAAAATAAATAAAAGAAAAGATTCATGAAATCGATACACTACAAGCATCGTCTAAAGAAAAAAAGCATGAAATAATTCTAATCATATTAAAGAGGGTTGTTTTAGATACTATACACAGTCGCATGTACATGCCACCTAAATGTGACTACACATGTGAGGTGTTGGCACATCCATTGCATCTATCAATTTTTTTTATTTTTAAATTATATTTTATATTTATCAAAATATTATTACCTCTCAATCAACTTAATTATTATTAAAAAAACTAATATTAAAATATAAAAAACCCTTGAATCCCAGTTTAATAAATTTTAATTTTAAAAATAATTTTTTCATTTCATTTTATTTTTTTGGTTAAATATTTAGAAAGTGTTTTTTTGGAGTTGAGAGAAGGAAAATACTTTTCTTTGGAAAGACTTAGGTTTTTTCTTTGACTAAAAATCACTTTTTATTGATTAATTTTTTTTAAAGGAAGTAAGATATTTTTAGGATCTACTCTAGTGTTTAAAAATTGATTAATTGGTTAAATAAATATAAAAAATTTTAAAAAAATAGTTTTTGAAAATGTATTTTGCTCCAAACAAAACACGTCTATGAGTATTATTAATTTTTTTTAAAAAAATATATTTTTTGGAGTTTTGTTAGGTTGGGATTGACAATCATTATACAAAAATTGGGACTTTTTTTGAGAATTTAACATTGCCAATACTAACAAAAAAAGGCACTAGGAATTTTGACATCTCGATTTGTGAAAACTATTGTTCGGGTTTTATCTTATATGCCTTACTTATGCTAATTTCCAGATTACAGGATAATTTCAAAAGATAAAAGAAGATAAAACCAGTACAAATATATAAATAAAAAAGAAAACGATAAATCAATTACAGAGAAGATTAGAGTTTAATTTTCTAATCACACAGAAGGAGATAACAAATCGTTGAGAGGGAGAAAAGAAAATTGAAACCATGCATTCTTGTGTTATTGATTCGGTTGAGTTTAATAAATTTATTTAATTTAATAATATATAAAAAATAACTTTAATTTAATAATATAAAAATATAAAAATCAAATAAACTTGGATAAATCTTTTAAATTTAAGTTGATATTTTTTATTACAATTTGTAAAATCTAAAACTTGGGCTCAATCAATAAACTTAATTTCTAATCAATTTAATATTAAAAAATAAAATAAAAAAATCAATCTAAAAAGCTTATCAAAGAAATAAAAAAATAGCAATAAAAAAAATAATAATCAAATTAAATAGAAAAAAATGAAGGATGAACTTGCATAAAAAAATCAATTTTATAAATCATCTCAAATAAAAAAATAACAATAAAAATAATGAGGGCTAAATTAGAAAGAGAAAAAAATCAAAGGATGAAATAAAATATAATTTCCAATTTCAACTAATTTTTTCAAATAAAAAATTATAATTAAAAGAACAAAAACTAAATACAAAGAAAAAAATTTAAGAGCTAATATGTAAATTTAAAAGGCATAGAATGGATGTCTAGGAGAAGAGAAAAGGATAAAAAATAAATAAATAAAGATATTAGTGTTAAACGGGAGGTTGTTGACCACACATATCATTTATATATATAAAAACAAATCAAGACATATTGAATAACACGAAGAAACAATAATTTTGACCATTAGTGTTAGTCACACATGTCGTTTATTTAAAGTTAATAGGATAACTGATACATGGATGAATGTATTGTTAATTTTTTTTAAATCAAAATACTATATTTTCCCGTGGTATCAAATAATTATTATGAAAAAAACTATTGTGGAATTATGTAAAAGTCACTATAATCAAGCTTTAAAAATTTTAATTTTTAAAGCTATAAAATCATTATATTATGTTAAAAAAATAAAATATTAAAAAAATTTGTAGATGATAGTCAAGGGTTTTTTGCTTTTAAAGACAATCAAGTAATTTAATTGCGCAAAAAATTACAAAAGAAAAAAATTGAAATGCCCTAAATAATTATAAAATGGCAAATGAAACCTATAAAAATATTATTTTACCCCTAAAAACCAGTACTTTATATTTTTTTGTTAAATGCAAATCCATGAATCCATTGTTACAATTCACTGTGATTCACGGCATCTGTACTGGGTTTTTTCCACATCCTTCAGGTTTCTGTAGAGATTATTTTTGTACTATTTTAAGGTTGCGAGTATAATTTCTTTAACGACAAAGGGAAACCATGGAATCTTACTTTCATAATTTCAATAAAATATTTTCAAACGTTTTTCTTAATATATTTTCATTTTTGACATTAAATTAAAAAAGTTTTTGCAGTGCTAAGCTGCTAACTAATTGGACAAGGAGGTGCTCAGTGGCATTGAAGTGTAAAGATCATTCGATCGATGACAAGCAAACAGTGATCACAAATGAATCAGCTAATAATGCTGAACGGGCAGTGATGATCAGTTTTGAGGATTGGAAGCAGTGAAACTTCTTTCCAGCTTAGCTTCCCAGTGACAGATGAAGAGATTTGTATTAGCTTAGAAGCAAAAGCATAATCCATCACAATCAATGGAGAATCGATAATAAGTCAAGGTCCCACTGTCACAACTGAGAGCACAATCAAATACAAATGATGCTATCAGTTGGAGACAATGACAATTGACCATGAGTTTGTACAGGTTTGGAGAGGCTTTCACACCTGCAAGATAGGCCAATTGCTTGTGCAAAATTGTAAACAGATAGCATTATGTTCTTGACGAGAATTTCAAGCTTTTGACCACTATTCTCAGCCCGTGATGATGCAGAATGAGCTTGTCAACATGCCAAGAAGCATATATTTGAATATGGAGAGTTACGGGGATAAAATATCTAAATTCATTTTTTTCTAAGGATGTTTAGTATTGTAGTTGCTCGATTAAAAAAATATTTTTATAAAAAGTATTTTAGGTTTAATATTTATATATATTTATTTAAAATTATCGTTTGAAATTCAGATTAAACAAAAAGCAATTTAATATGTTTAGTTAAAAATATTTTTTAAATTAAAATTATTAAAAATATATATATTAATATTGTTGATTTTT